ACATACAAAAAAATCACACATATGGAATGTGGCTTATTAATAGGCATTCTTCATATTTAGAAGTGATTTTTCTGCTGTCTGTGGGTATGAATAAAGTTATTTCTGATTTTATAAGGTCTGAAGAAAGGTAATAATATAATATTGAACTTTACCAGAATTCAGTGAGTTTCAGCTAATACAGAATCAAGCATACCTCAGGCTAAACATGTAAATCATCTGAACTTTATGAAGTGCTATGCCACTTTTTTGAGAAATCTGTCCCGCTTTCTTCTAAGTCTTCTAGATCATTGTAAATTTTCTGCTTATACTTTGGTTTGCAGTCTGAGATATTTTCATTATCTAAACAAAACTTTGTCTCAAGGAAATTCCTAGTCTTTTAAAACAAAAGCCTGCATGTTATACATTGGACTAAAAGGCCAGTCTTCTCTGAGTTTGGGGTGATTAACATGTAAATTTTGTGTGTGTTTTAAAACAGTTTCCTATGATCCGAAATACGTAGTCTATTTATAATACTTTCAGTGGTTACAAAACAAATATCTCATTATTGGAGAGAAGGTGACTTTTGGTTATTTGATTTTTATACAATGCTGTATGTTTAAGCAGCTTAATTACAAATGTTGATGATCCTCTCAAGTGAAGTCCAAATGCAGAGTACTTTTCAGCTATTGGTGATGATATCCACTTAACAAGAAAGTCATTTTACTACCATCAGGTGGCCAAGAAAAAAAGTTAAGAAACATACTGTGTTGTGTATAATTAATCACAGCAAGCATATGTTTGTAAAATTTCATATTTTCAGAGTAAATGCTGGCTTCATGATCACCATCATGAAGATACCACCCTTGAAAACTCCAGAAAATAATGCCCTTGATGTTAACAGCCTCTATTTTTTATTCTACAAAGAAAACTGAATTTATTATGGAAAATTGTGGACAAACAAAAATTTTAGAGAAGAAAATAAAAATCATCCAGTCTTTTCACTCAGAAATATCACCATGAATCTCATTTATCTTCCCGTGTGTATGGTCTGTGAAAAGTTTCTCATTCAGTGGAGATTATGTTTGATATTTAGTTACTGGTATCTCATAATAGTGTGTGTATGTGTGTGTATGTGTGTGTGTGTGTGTGTGTGTGTGTTTCCATTGTCATAATGCACCAAAATTGATTTAGTCATTTTCTAGTGGGTAGATGTGTCTTATATTGCCAGGTGTCTCTATTCATAGTATTTTCAAAGTGATCATTTTTAGGCAGATGTCTACAGACCTAGCAAAATCTATAAAATAAAATCCATAAGTCAGATACACAGAAGAGTATGAGGCATTCTTAAATAATAATAAACCCTTTTGGGAATAATACTAGAATGGAATTAACATGAGAAAATGAAAAAAATGGAAACAAAATCTTTGTAGATAGGGAGAGATGGAGGAGTTGAAGGGAGGGCAGGGGAATGGGGAAAAAATAAGAACCAAGATGGATAACATAAAGGTGAAGATTTCCAATGATGCATGTCTTTATATTGTGTACCTGCAATGTACCAATATAATTGAAAATATAACACTTAAAATTATCTAAATAATCCTATAGTCTGTCAGCTAGTAGTGTGCTATAAATCTAGTGATATTCCTCCTTCTTATTAAATAAGTTAGTTTTTACCATTTTTCTCTTCGGCACACTGCCAATAATAGGCTTTGACTAGCAAAAGAATCTAGATTATGAACATTGCCAAGTAGTTTCTGAAAAAAAAAAATAGAAATGTAGACCACATGTCAAGTTAAGTCCAGTAAAATTAGGAACTCAGCCTGTTCTGAACTGTGCTTCCGCATGGGATATAACACAAAAGATGAACTTAGAAGTTCCAGAAAATACGCTGCCAGCTATCTCCTGCCTGTTCCCCCTTCGTTACTTATCTTTCATGCCTGTAAAACAGTTTGTTGTGTGGCTTTAAAGCTGTTCGCAGTCCTGATTACATCCGTCACATTAGGTGGGTCTGGGCTGCAGAACCTCAGTGTCTTTTACCCTTACTAAAGTTCACCCTGAGTGAGATTCCATCTTCACCCCAGGATCCAGACATTCTCTGGAACATGCTGGTCTCATGGCAGAGAGGAAGGAGAAAGGCAAATCATGGTGCTTGGTGTTCTTTTTTATTTAAATGGCCACATTAAAGTGGCCCATTTCCCTTCATCTTACATGTCATTGATGGAAGCCAGTCTGAGGAGGAGGCCTGGTGCCATGAGATGCCAGTAAGAAGGCGCAGCGTACCTTCCCACAGAGAACTCCCATCCCGTGGCCAAGCCTCATGCAGGCGAGGTAGACAGAGAAGCCTCGGGGAATTAAATAGCCCCTGGGAATCCACATCACACCTCTGACTTTTTGGGTACCTTAGCACCCTCCAGTGGTGCTAATAAGTGCATATTAGCATTTTTCAATTACAGTAAAGTATACCTAAGGTTAAAAACCATCTTAAGCATTTTTTAAGATCTAGAAAAACAGTGCTGAGGACATTCATAGTGCTGTGCAACACACCAGTGGTCAGAACTCTCATCACCCTGCAGAACTGAAGCTCTCTAGCCATTTAACAATCCCCAGGTCCCCTCTGCCAGCCTCTGGCAAACCCCCATTGTACATTCTCTGTGAATTCACTGGGTTAGATATACAAGGCAAATATATTTGTGTTTTTATAATTTGCTTATTTCACTTTAGCATAATGTCCTCAAGGTTCATCCATGTTATAATATGAAGCAGAATTTCACTGCTTTTTAAGGCTGAACAATATCCCATTATATGTCATAGTTTAATTAATTTTTTCTCTTTCTTTATTCAGTACTGGGGATTTAACCCTCGGATATTCTACAACTATGCCTTTTTATTTTTTATTTTGAGTAAGATCTTGCTGAGTTGTCCAGACTGGCCTCAAACTTGGGATCTCCCTGCCTCAGCCTTCCTAGTAGCTGAGATTACAGTTGTGTGCCCCATGTCCAGTTTCCGCCCACCTTCTGACTACTATAAATGATGCTTCTGTGATAATAAGTATACAAAATTTTTAGCAATCTGGATCTAGATGACCTTTTATAGGAATGAGCTTTATTGCAACACAATTATATAATTAATAAATTATATAAAAGCACCAGAGATATAAAAAGACATTTAAAAAAAACCAAAACATTATTTTAAGGTGGTCCACATTTTTTGAAATTTAAAAAAATTTAAATGGAACATTTCGCTTCATTTTTAGAGTAGCAAAATATAACTAATATGTCACTAGTTATTGTGTGAATATTACTGTTTGAAATGAGGTTAAAATAGATATTTACATTTTTCAAAAATAGCAAAAATGACAAGTTGTAAATGACTAGTGCTCAGGAAACACTGATAGGATTCTAGAACAGCAATCAGACTCAAACCCTTTTATTTTTTTCTTTCTTTCTTTTCTCTCTCTCTCTCTCTCTCTCTCTCTCTCTCTCTTTTTTCTCATTTCAACTACTCATTTCAGGCTGAACTCACTCACCTCGTCTGTTTTGGGACTCACACATGATAAACTCCATCTTGCAGTCATTTCTTTTGTAAGACTGCTATCGGGAGTGGCGATTCCACCCAGATGACTGGAGCTTTCTGTAACCTCCTAGCACACACGCTTTGGTAGGACAAACCATACTTGGTATCTTCTCTAAGCAACATCACATTGAAGCTGTCCGTGTAGTGGCCACAGGGAATCCCAGTTGGTGGGGCAGGATTCTAACAAGTGTGCCACCGTATCTTTGGGATTGAGCAACCAGAACATGCTTATTAGGATCTTAACACTAAGCAATTGCTGTTATACAATAGGTTTGTTATTATCACAGGATTGCAGCTTGGACATATTAGCTGACCTAAACTCACGGTTACTATCCGATCAAAAATTTTTTTAAAAAATGAAAACGACAAAGAAGAGACAATGAAAAGCATCCACCAGGAATGTAATCTTGTCTGGGGTTATTAGTCACATAAATGTACCTGAGAGTTCCTCCCATCTGTAAGTCCAGCTGTATTTTCCTCATGGCTTAAGTCATTGGTGTTTAGGAATTTCTCTACAGGGGCAAGCTTTTCTATCATTTTCCCATTACAAATTCAGTTAACCAAATCACATCCTGTGGTTAAATCCACAAGTACAACACATTTCAGCACTGTTGGAGAGCAGTTGTGATGCTGTTGACAAATGAGTCCAATATTTGTTGTTTCGTGATTAGCAATAAACCTAGACGTCAGTGTTCCATCTGCATTAGCTGTTGGCAGCCGCTACTGACCCTTCCCCCTCCCCAAGAGTTTCTGGTCTGGAATTCATGAGAGGGAACTAAACTATGAATCTAACTTTATAAACCTGAAAGAGTTTCATTAATTCTCTAATGGAATTCTCATTAACTTTTTAGTGCTTTGCCTTATTTTTCTTAAGAATTGATTTACATTCGGAAAAGGACTTTAAAAGATAGAAGCTGGGTCGCAATTTTTCATGTGTGTAGCTATTCATGAAAATAAATCTAAGTAATCCTTATTTTTTATTGCTTCCCATTTTCCCCATCTCATCATACAAGGCTAGCTTAAAAATCACCCACACTTCATTTCTTGTGACTTTAATCTGCTCATTTGGCAATTTCTCTCAGCCTTCTGTGTTAACAAGTTACTCTGCCTGCCTTCCTGGGCTCATCAGCAACTGTCCCTCTAGTGGTGAATAAAGGAATTTGCTTTTGTCCAACTCCAACGTGTTTTCCAAGAGATAGCAAATGCATTGTGAAATGTCTTAAAAGAGATGATGAATACAATAAAGTGAACTTTCTCACAATTTAATTGAAATGCCCTGTAGAAAAGAAATGTGGCTACTCTTTTTTTCCTAATCCCATCTGTATATCACACATTACCAAGAGGGTGATCTACTTCCAACTTCCCTCCTGTGATAGTTATTTATCTGCTCCACTGAAAATACTACTCTGTGCTCAAATCAGTTTTAATTTCTCATCTTGCATTTCAAGCTCCCAGTCAGCCACCAGGAAATGTCGTCTGGAATGCGACAGATACTAAAGTGTTACTTAACTGGGAGCAAGTGAGAGCAATGGAGAATGAATCTGAAGTCACAGGATATAAAGTAAGTTGCATAATTTCCAGTGCTTTGTTCCCCTACTTCTGGAAAAACTTTTCCAGGGAGACTAGGTTGTAATGATGTTGGCAAATGTTGTTGATATGGTTTCCATAATCTAGTTGTGACATAGGTATCAAGGTTTCATGAACAAGGGTATTTTCCCTGAATATCTCACTTGTTAAATATAAACCTCCATGAAGTAATTCTGCTTGTATGGCAATTTTGAACACAATTTTTGTAAATTGTGTTTCGATGATTTTTTTACTTCTGATACTCATTATAGATTATTTTTAAATCAAATGAAAGTACTGGCTCTGATTCCTTTGTTGGGCACTCAGGGCCCACATAGCAGAGGCCTGTCCTGTCTCTTCAGCCTCACCAAACACTTAACCTATCTGAGCTCTTCCATGGAAGAAGATCATTCTTGCACCACCTCCTTGCTATACAGTACTTGGTGATTCTCCTGTGTGCTTCTCCGTAATCTAAGACCTACGGATAGATCTGGGAATGCAGTTTATATTCTAGTGGATGCAGAATAACTTTACTGTGACAAGAGAAGGTTTTGTAAAGAAAATAAAAGCAGACAGCATAAGAACTGTATTTGTTTGTGCATTTTAGGTTTTCTATAGGACTAGCAGTCAAAACAGTGTGCAAGTGTTGAACACAAATAAAACTTCAGCTGAACTTTTGCTGCCCCTTAAGGAAGACTACATTATTGAAGTCAAGGCCACAACAGATGGAGGGGACGGCACCAGTAGTGAACAGATCAGGATTCCGAGAATTACCAGTAAGTTGGTAGTGCTCAGTTTTCCCACTGCTTCCATCGGGGTTGCTAGACCATAGTGAGGAACCCTAGTGCCCTTCGGCCCATCTGCTCCCAGCACACACGCTCATCATGCCAGTGCTGAGAAGGTTTTGCAACATCAGTGATAAGAGCAGAAGGAAAATCTCAGGAGTGGTGCAAAATGGCGAGAAAGATGAAGACAGGAGGAAAAGACTGAAAAATATTTAGTAAACTTTTATTTATTTGGATTATTTTCCTCATTCTGAGCTGTGCTTAAATGTGCCTTTGGGTAAGCTATGCAAACAGAATTCCCAAGGTTTTCTCAAGAGCAACATGGAACCCGCACGCTACTTTTAAGATCTTTAATACTCCTACAAATCATTAATAAATGTCATCAATTCTTTCAGTAGAAAAACTAACATTGTTTAGGTTATAAGGCATGTATGTGTGCCACACAAAAAGTTACCAATATTTAGAGAATTCTGTTTCTAATTTCCAAGGAGGTTCCCAAAAGTTTTTTTTTTCCTCAAAATTGAAATGAAACCTATTTTATTATAATAATTTCACTTTTGGGGAAGGGAAACAGACTTTGGCATATATATTCTATCAGTGACGATGGTACAAAAAATTCATCTTCCCTTACAAACCCTATGTCTGGATGTCTCAGTAATGTAGAGCTCTTCTTTTCTTCATTCTCTATTGTATGGTTTCTAGTGACATGAATAACTTTGTTTCTTGTTTCCTTTGATTGGTGGGAGCTTCCTCTATGGGAAAAGAAAATGGCTGAAACTACTAACTGAAAAGAAAGAGAGATAGGAAAACTTGGAGAAATTCTGTCTTTCTATAAAGTCATAGTCTGCCATCCTTAGAAAAAGCAAACTAAGCTATATAATGAAATTGGAGCTACTTATCTTGGAGCTGAGTTCTGCAAAGGTCCATAAAAAACATTTCAGACTGTAGATACTTGTAGACCAAAACAGGAATAAAATCATGTTTATTATTTTTAATGTAGGTTTTTAAAATAATTAGCACAGACTTCGTGTTCCCCGAGTGAGGCAAGGTACAGAGTTCACAGGACAATATGGCCAAAACCATATTGTTCAGCAAGAGCTTCTCTGCTTTGGCAGGGGCAGGCACAATTAGCATTTGGGACTGCTGAGTCAAGAGTAGCCTTTTCATCTGACATCCACTGTCTTGCTGAGTTCGCAGAAACTGGGACTGCACAGGGCTGTCTCTGAAAATGGAGCTTTCATTGATTGCTTTTAAAAAATGATCTTTTATATTATGCATAATAATTTATCTGCATAACATAGAAACAAGCAGATTTTTAAAATCCTTGTCCAATGAAGCTTTCTTTAATTAAACCACTGAATTACCCCACAGTTGTTTGTGATCAAGTGTAATTATTTTTAAAATGATTAAGTTGTTTTTCCAATTTCAATTAAAGTTAATACTAGATGAACAAAGCTTGTAACATTTGAGAACACTTAAAACACATCAGTGCTTTTATGTTCTGGGCAACAAGCACATGCTGTTGTTGATGCACAAACTAAGGACTAATTTGTGCTCCCAGCATAAGATAATGCCATAATTTGAGGTGTTTTTTTTAATATATATAGGAGAGGCATTGCTTTTAACTTGTGTCTTAGTCTGTTTAGACTGCTCTAATAAAATTGTGGGCAGGGCATCTTAGAACTACAGAGATTTATCTCTCACAGCTTTGGAGACTGGGAAGTCCAAGGTCCAGGTACCACCTCACTCAATGTCCATTCTCAAGGGCCCCATCTCCAAATGCCATCACACTGAGGGACAGGGTTTCCAACATGTGAGTTCTGGATGGAAAACCAGCCGCCTCCAGCACCCTGATTGCATATTGAATCTCTCTGTTAATGCGCTGTTTATCATCATCTTCGACAGGTATGGATGCAAGGGGATCATCTTCAGCCATCTCGAATGTCCACTCTGTGCCGAGTTACATACCTGTGGCACTGTTCTTCATTGTAAATGCCCTGTGGTGATGTTTATTCTTTTTAAATCATTTACTGGAAAGTTAATTGGTTACCAGAAAAAAAAGTGCTTTCATGAAACAGTGATTGTGCATGTTTTTTTATTTTCAACTCTGTTTTTAACTTTCTACTTCACTATAGGTAAAATATGAATATAATAAAAAACAGTAAATCCTTTTAGAGGAATCTGAAATGCCTTAATATTTACTTGATAAACCAAAGGAATTTACATATCACGTATTGCAGTCTTTTGATAGAAATGTTCTTAAGCAATGAGTTTATCACTGCCTATGATAAAGATTCACTCCCACATAGCCACAAACACACACATTTTTTTAACCATGGAAATGTTAAATCCATTTAACAGAATTTAATCCAAATGATCTTTTCCCAGTATCACAACATTAATTGTAAGACTTAATCCATATCATTTTAAAATGGTTACTTAAATCCCTAAAGGTGAAAACTACATTTAAACAATTATCCTGTTAGAAGGGGGTGGCATGTGTTGCTGGAAGACGCTTTTTTGGAGCTCAGGAGAATTCAGTGTCTTTAGTGTACTGCTAAATTATTGTGAGAATTTAGGTATCACTTTGCTTTCTGTACCTCTCAATAAAATGTGGTGGTAATAATATCCATCTGATCTGCCTCTGCACCATGAATTAGTTTTTAAAAATTGAAAATAAAATGTGAAAGTGCTTTATTAAACCAAATGCCAGGTTCCTGTGCAAACTGTTAATGGATTTCCTTAAGCATATAAAATGCATGAAGATCGGCTGCATCTTTTAAGCTAGTATTCTACACTCTAGACAATACTCTGTTGCGTTCAGTAATGGGAAAACAATGTTTTGTCCTTTTTGATATTTTAAAACATAATTTTAAAAAGAATTATTTTCTTCCCACCTAAGAATAAGCTCTCAGGCTTTATTACAACCCAGTTGAGAAAATAAGGAATGATCAAAATCTCAACCCAAATATTAAACAAAATCCACACAATTCTTTGTTTCCACTTTCTGATTTCATTAAAGGATCTTCTCTCTTTTGGATGGCAGGGAGGGTTTTTTAATGAAATCCCACTGTCTATCTCAGTGAGTCAGGCAGGCTTTTTAGTTCCTGAGTTAAAAACTTGGAATAGAACATGATGCTGGTACTGACTCTGATATGTATGATTCAGTCTTTCAATATGTGGTTTTCAAAGGATTGTTGAAGGCATGATTTAATAGCAGCGTGTAAGGAGTATATGAAAATTGGCAGATAGATTGAGTATTAGACTCTCAAAATCAATTTTTTACCCCTTTCCTACCAATTTCACATTCCTCTGGAACTTGTTTGTATTTCCAAAGATACCAGAATTTGAAATTGACAGTTCAACTCTAGAAAAAGATTAAAAATTAGCAAAATTTTGATATCTTCATAAAGTACCATACTTTGTTCAAGATAAAGTCATGATATTCACAGGAGAAAAAAATGTAACTTTCTCTGTAAAGTGTGTATATACTGTAAATAAGTAGAAAAAAATCTGAATAACTAGTACATTTCATATGACCATTGTTATTTCCACTGAAAAAGTGGGGAAACACTTTCTCCAATACTTGTTTTTTATGCTACATGTGATGGAGCTGTACCTTTTTATTAATTAGTAATTCCTATAATATGTTCCTACATTTTTTTCATTTTCAAGATGATCACTCTCTTGTTTCATGTTATTTCTAGTAATGTATCTCCATGAGATATGGAAATTTTTTCATATTGAAAAGAGTAAAATTTATCTTTAAATTTCTGTGTGTGTACCCTATGGTTATCTGTATGTACTATTTTCTATTCTAATAAAATTTATAACAATCAAAGGGTCTTGCATTATTAATTTAGTACGGTTAAAGAAGAACATCTACGGGGAAAATAGACATAATAGTTACACTGATGTTATTATTTCTTATATCTTTTGGTTTTCTAAGAAAGTATTGTAAAATTATTTTTAGACTCTACTGGTTCAGTAAAATCATCAATTTGAGATGATCTCTTTGTAAAAGACACTTTGGCTGTGTGGAGAAGGGGAATTCACCTTAGAGAATTATGATATCCAATTTCTTCTGATTCATTTGGTTACAAGTTGATTCACATTTAAAGTATTCACATTTAAAGTATTTTCCTTAAAGAAAAAAATATGAGAAAACGAAAAAATGGAAATAAAGTGTTTGTAAAGGGGGAGGGGAGGAAGGGGTAAAGGGAGGTAGGGACAAGGGGAAAAATTAGAACCAAGACCTGTCATGTAAAGGTGCAAGATCCCAATGATGAATGTAACTGTACTGTATACCTAAAATGTACCAATAAACTCAATGAAGGAAAAAAATATAAAGTATTTTCCCTCCAAATTAATATCCATTTTATCACATTCTTCACAGACTTTCTCCTTGGTATGAGTTTAGAGATTTCCTTCTTATGATCTTTGTGGTGTAATGTATTCTAAATGCTTAAAAATTACCCTAGGAAAATATTCATTTTTTTAAATATAAAGAATTTAAAATGTTGCTATAAGGAAAATAAGAACTAAATATTTAACCATTTTTCTACATTGGAATTAGATTCGTGTAGAGAAAGGAGAATTAAGTGGGAAAACCATGTAGGAATTGTTGGGGGGGTGTTATTTTCCATTTATGGTCAGTTGTGATGGATGCATCAGTAAACTCTTAATGAAGGGGAAAGACCTGGAGAATATGCAAAAACAGATTAAGTCATCTGTCAGCCCTAATGATCATGACAGAAGTGGCAGAATGGGCCAGCTGTGGGTCGCTCTGCATCCTAGCAATACCTTCACCAGTATGGGCAGGTGGTCTTGGCCGAGTTCCATCGCACCTCCAATCCTCGGTTCCCCAATACGCAGGCGAAAAAGGGCCGCGGAAGTATTATCCTCACGTGGTTGTAAAATCATCAGTGAATACAGAAGTCTTCTGTGCTGAAATGGACTCGTGTGAACTGAAGTAATCAGTGCAGCCCACTTCAGGGTCAGTAGTTAGTAAATTAAATAATGTGTGTGAATCTTAGAGCCCTGATTTTCCCATCGCTCTTCCAGTCAGCAGGAAATAGCACTGGATGACCAAGGCACCCTTGTTAAGGTGGTTTTGCTTTAATATTCTTAGAGCTCTCCTTCAGTTTCATTTTACTGAGAATTGAGAAAGCTATTGATATAAGAAAATATAACTCCCAGCGTACTAGATGTTAAACATGCTGAGTTCGGGTCCCCTGAAATAGAGGAATGAATTGCAAGGAGTGACAGGTTGAGCAGGAAATGTTTATTGAGAGACAGTTCCTAAGAGGCCAGAGGGGACCCCAAATTGGATTGCCAAAGAGACAATTTCTCTAAATTTTTACAAAACAAAATCACAAGGTGGGTACAAAATTATGAGGTGAGTTTGAAGTGGATCAAACTAATCAATAAGTTTACAAGTACAGCTGCTTAGCTAATATTGATCCAGTAGGGGAGTGCATCATGTAGCAAAGGTACTTGGGAAGAACAAAAGCATTTTGGGTCCATGTGTCCTAGTTACTCCCTGGAGCTACAGTGTCTATCTGGATTTGATTACAATTCCAGTATAACCCCAATTACCAATTCCAGTATAACCCCAAATTTCCATTTATCCTGTAGGGAGGGCTGCAAGTTTAGCCATTGTAATTTTAATTTCCAGGCCTTGTATTCTTCAGACACTCCCCAGCCACAGTGTTGATGTGTTCTCATCTTTTGCACTGCCTCCCTCAAGGGCTTAACCCTGTCTGCCTGCCTATTAACTTCTATGTAATTCCACTCCTTGCAGTACTGTGACTCCAAAAGTTCTGAGAAGATGAGGTAGAGAAGTTCTTGGCTCAAATTACTTTTTCACAGCAAGATAGGTTTTGTAAGGTTAAATAACATATTACTTTCTATGTTCAGGACTCAGATTTCAGCCTCTTTTTAAATATTTTTTATTCATCATTGGGATCTTGTACCTTTACATGGACGTGTCTTGGTTCTTATTTTTTCTCATTTCCCTAGACTCCCTTCCCCTCTCCACCCTACACTATTTACAAAGACTTTGTTTCCAGGTTTGTTTCCTCTTCTTATTTTTTTTCTCCTCCCTTTTTACTTTTTCCCCTCCCCCTTCCACTTGCCCAATACCTTTACAAAATATCACGTATGCATTTTGACCCATACTTACAGATTTAGTTTATCACACCAAAGAAACTATTCAGTATTTACACGTGTGTCCTATTAATTCACTTAAGAGTATGTCCTCAATGTGTATCCACTTAGGTATAAATGTCTCTAGTTTCTCATTCTTTATGGTTGAGTAGCTCCATTTTATTTAAAAAAATCTTTATCCAATCTCCAGTTTATGGACAATTAAGCTATTTCCAAGTTTTAACTATTACAAACTGTGCCACTAATAACGTGGTAAGCGTATATAACTGTGGTATAATTCTTTTAATTCTTTTGGGAAGATACCCAGCAAGGGAATAGCTGTGTCAAATGGGACTTCTAATCCTAGTTGTTTGAGGTATCTCCATATTGATTTCCACAGTGGTTGCACCAGTCTGCACTCCCACCAACAATGGAGAAAGGTTCCTTTCTCCCTACAACCCCACCAACATTTGTTATTGGTTGATTTCTTGATAGCAGCCATTCTTTCTGGGGTGCTTCTGCATCTGCTTCTCTCGAATGATCAGTGATGTTGATCATTTTTTCATGTATTTATTTGCTACTTTTACTTCCTTGTTTGAGCAATGTCTGTTCATTTCAGATGCCCATTTTTGAATTGGATCTTTATATTTGGGTGTTTGATTTTTTTTTAGTTCTTTGTAGATTCTAGATAGTAGAACTTTGTCTAAGGAAGAGCTGGTAAAAAAATTTTTTCCCACATTGTAGGTTGTATCTTAGTTCTGTTGATGGTTTCTCTTGCAGTGCAGAAGCTTTATAAAAAGATGAGATTCTTTGTGCTAGTTCCCATGCTACTGAGGATTTGTTCATAAAGTCTTTTCCTATGCCATTGTCTTCAAGAGTTCTACCTAGCTTATCTCCCAACAAATTTAGTGTTTCTGTTTTAATATTTAGAGCTTTAATCCACTTGGACTTTTTTGTAGTGCATGGTGAAAGATAAGGGTCTAGTTTTAATCTTTGGCAAGTTGAAATCCAGTTTTTCCAACACCATTTATTAGAGACTATCTTTCCTTCAGGGAGGATGGTTGGCTCCTTTGTCAAAGATGAGGTAGCTTAGTATGTCCAGAGTTGTTTGTGCATCTTCTAATTTATTCCACTGATCCTTGTGTATGTTTCTTTGCCAGTACCATGCTGTTTTTAACACAGTTGCTTTATAGTATAGTTTGAAGTTGGGGATTATGATACCTCCTGCCATGTCTCTGTTGCCTAGAATGGCTTTTGCTATTCTATGTCTCTTCATTTCCAAATGAACTTTTGTATTGTTTTCTGTAGTTATGTGAAATATACTGTTGTAATTTCAATAGGGATTGCATTGAACTGTATGGCAGTTTGGAAATATAACTATTTTCACTATATTGGTTCTTCCTACCCAGAAACAAGGGAAATCTTTCAATTTTCTATTATCTTCTTTGATCTCTCTCTCTTTTTTTCCAGAGTATTATAGTTTCCACATAGAGGTCTTCCTTTATTAGATTTATTCCTAGATATTTCATTTTTTGGATGCTATTGTGAAAGGTATTATTTCCCTAATTTCTCTCTCAATGAGTCTGTTATTTGTGTATAAGGAGGCTATTGATTTTTCAGTGTTTACCTTGTTCCCAACTACTCTGCTGCATCTTTCAATTAAGTCTAGAAGTCTTTTAGTGGGGTTATTTGGGTCTTCTATGTAGAGTTCAGATTTCAGTCTTGACTTTTGCTAAATTATTTCCTCTAATCTCATTAATTAAGTTCTTTTAAGCCTATTTTACAGATGAAGAAACAGGCAGAGGAAGATAAAGTGAATTGTATAAAGTCATTCTGTAAAAGTTGTAGTAAAATGAGATCCAAGGCAGTTTGGCTATAATCCTAAAGTCTAAGCATGGATAGGCTTTTGAACTTCTTGAAATCAAACTAATCAAATTTAGAGATTCTAAGTAAGTATCTCCAGTGTGAGTTTATAGTATAGTTTATTTTTGCCTCTGATATTGAACACAATTCATATTGGTGAACCTCGGGATCCTTCATTAAAACCTTGAAATTAGGGGCCAGGGATTTAGCTCAGCGGTTTGGTGGCCTGCCTTGCAAGCGCAAGGACCCAAGTTCAATCCTGGTACCAAACAAAACAAAACAAAAAGAAAAACTTTGAAATTATTTTAAATTTTTATCTTTATTAATATATATTTATGGCATACAATGATTCCATTTATTGTGAAGAGTTAGTACAAAATCTATTTGAAGATGACTGCTGATTTTTAAGAATTTCTCCCTTTTCAGTGAAAACCAGACAGTATAATTCAGTAAGGTAAAGAAAATGCAAAATGACTAGGTGTTATAAAGACAGTTTTCTAATTAAAATCCCCCACCATTACTCTTCTAATACCACCTTATTTATTTAAAATTAATCAATCCAGTTCTTTTTTTGAAG